ATAAGCAAGCCCATGGTAACAATAAAGCCATCAGGAAACAAGAGCAACAGAGGTGAGATAAGGAGGGGCTGATGATGAGAAAACAGTGTTCAATGTTCAGTCTGACACAGTACTAAGTGCTGGTGAGCATGAGGAGCCTAGGCAAGTCTCATATAACCACTTTGGATGGCAGTTTAGCATAACCGAAAAAGCTGAACTCATGCATCCTCCATAATCATGCAATTCCACTCCCAGCAGATAGGCCACTGGGGGCGTATGTGCTCCAAGCGTTATATCAGTAATGTTCACAGCAGCATTACTTGGGATAGCCAAAACTGGCAATTATTCAAATTGCAACAGCAAAATGTGCAGTATAATAAAATCTTATACAACTTAAATAGACAAACTACAGTTACACAGAACAACAAACAGCAGTCCCCCCTTATCTACAGGGGATACACTCCAAGACCCCCAGTAGGTACCTGAAACTGCAGATAGTACTGAACCCCATATATACTATGATTTTTTCCATCTGATAAAGGAGAAGGCTGCTAAGCGACTAACAGGTGGATAATGTATACAGCAAGGATAAGCTCAACAAAGCAATGATTCATGTCCTGGACAAGACAGGGCAGGACAGCACGAGATTCCATCATGCTACACAGAACAGTGAGCAATTTAAAACTCACGAATTGCTTATTTCTGGAGTTTTCCATTTACTATTTTCAGACCACAGCTGACTACGGGTAACTGAAACCACAGATAAGGAGGCACTACTATATCTAAATGTCAAAAACATAATGTTGAGCCAAATTAGCCACACACTAAAGAATACATGCTATATGGTTCCATGTACATGAAATTCAAAAACGGACAAAAGTAACCTAGTGATGGATGTCAGGACAGTGGATCTTTGGGAAGGAAACAGGGGTCATTATTGGGGAGGCTCACAGAAGGGAGGGGGGAGTTTGAGGTGTGAAGTGCTAGTAATTAATGTTCTGTTTCTTGAACAGGATGACAGTTACACGAGTGTTCATTTTCTCATAACTCATTAAGCTTTTCACTTACGGCTTGTGTATTTTTCTGTATGTGTTATATGTCACAATAAATAAAAAATAAAACGTTATTTGACCAAAACTCCCTAGCTTTCTTTCTCATGTTTACTTTTTCACCCTAAAACTCCACTGACAAAAGAGTTTGCAAGTCTTATAGAAAGAAAATATACTTTAAGTGGTCCTAGAGAGCTTCAAAATTACCTCCATCCTCAAGTTGCATCCTTCCCTCCCATGTGTTACCTTTCACCACTGTTACAACTCAAACAGAGCCCCTCATCCCAAAGCAAATCCATCCTGTTCTTATTTCCTACCTCGCAGAGACCTTGCCCTCTCAACTGCCTCCCTGCTTTCTAACTCTTTTAGTCTTTCCCTCGCTACCAGCCCCTTCCCATCAGGATTTTGCTGTTGCTTTTCATTCTCATAATGGTATCCTTTTCTATGTTGAAACCATTGCAAACTTGTAATAAAGTTGCAACAGTAATACAAAGAACTCCTATATGACCATCACCCAGAGACCCCCCCATTCAAGTTTTCATCAGTTGCCCCAATAACATTATGACAAAAAAAATCACTGCACTGCACCCAGTTCGTACATAGTCTCTTCCAATGTGGAACAGTTCCTCAATCTTTCCTTGACATTTTTGAAGATTATAGTAGATTGAAGACTGAAGATTGAAGGCCCTTGTGTCTTTTCAATGTGTCACATTATTATTGAGTACCTCCTTACTTCCTGGAACAGCAAGATATTCCAGGCTCCAGCTTGAGAATCAGTCATTTCTCTAAAGAGCCCTGATTGCTTTTAGCACAGAGTGGTATTCTAGATCAAGATATGGGTCCTAAATCCATTCGCTGCTACTAGAGAGCCACTCTTCCCAGGCACTCTGAGAAAGGATTAGGAAATATGTGAAAAGAGCTAGGAAATATGAGTGTGTGTGTGTGTGTGTGTGTGTGTGTGTGTGTGTGTGTGTCTACCCACACATACACATGCATTTACATGGACATTTCTTTCTCTGTCTACACATACTGAAAATCATGACTTCATACTATTAGCTCCAATTCGAATCCATTGTAGCTTTCCCCCTTTCTATGTTGATACCACCTTTCTCCATTCATGAAAAGGCTGGCTTCCACCACTTCAATATATTTACTTATTTGTTCAGTTGCCTATGTGTAGCCAATCTGATCCCAACTGGCCACCATCACCAACTGGTTTAGGCATAGTTTCCAATCAGATATTTTCAGAAGAGTTGCCTATATTCACCGTCTTTACTTCCTTGAGTCATTCCTCGACCCACTACAATTTGATTTCCATGCTGATCAAGGTGACCAGTAATCTCCTTGCCACCAAATCTAAAGGATCTTTCTCAATTCTTTTCTAACTTGAGCTCCCTTGCAGCATTCAAGACTCTGAACATTCTTTGCTTCTTAAAACACTCTTTCCCTCTGGTTTCTGTGACTCCCCACTCAAATTGGTTTTCCCTCCACCTTGTCAACCATTCCTTCTTAGATTCTTCTACAGGCTTCTCCCCAAACCCCAACTTTACTTATTATGACTGACTGGGGTTCTGTCCTAGCTCTTTTCTCTGTGCCATCCCTGAGGTATTTCATCCACTACCATGGCTACAATTATCTACATTCTGCTGACTTACACATCTATATCCTTAACCCAGGTGCAATCCCTAAGCTTAAGACCTATCTAATGAAACACCCACCAAATATTATTCCTTGGGTGTCTCTCAGTCACTCCACACAAAACACATCTAACACTGAAATAATTTCCACCCAACCCCTTCCCCCAAACCTTCTCTTCTTTCTGAGTAATGTAACTCAATGAACAGTTGCCATCTGTTCAGCAGCCCAAACCAGCAACTGAGGAACCATTCTTAACTCCTTTTTTCCCACCCCCACATCATCAGTGCTTGTTCCTTCATGTGGCTCATTAGGCCCTGCAGGACCTTGTCCTAGCTACTTTTACAACACCATCTCGTTCTTCAACTTCAAACTCAACCTCAGCTGCATTGAAATTTCTTTCACTTGCACAAACATGCAACATCCTTTCTAGTCCTTGGGCCCTCACATTCTTCTCCCTCTGCCTCTTTGCTACATTACTTGGCCAAATTCTACTTATCCCTCAGGACACAGGCTCTGGGAATCTTCCCAGAATGCCCCTGCTCTGTACTTCAATGGCACTCTCTACATCTCTAGAGTGCTAATTTATTCCAATGGCTCATTTAATGATTTTAACTTCCCAATCAGATTATTAGCTCTACTAAGGTCTCAAAGAGAAACAGAAGCAGTGTCTTAGTCACAGCTCTATCACCAGGACCTAGCAAAATAGCCAAAACACAGTAGGTGTGCCCTAAGTATGTACTGAATGAATCAGCCTCAAAAATAGCAAATCTACAGCAGCCACAGCCAAAGAGCACATTTCACACACATGCATTAACTCAAGCGGTGGGGCAGTTACATCCTCCTTCACTCCTGTTACGGCTTGATTCAAAGGTTGGCATCTTTATGTGTAATGAACAATAATATAATCATATTAGCCTGAAAGAAAGAATTATTTCCTTTAGAAAAAGACAGAAGTTCCTCTTCGTTCTCTGTAGTAAGTTGGAATGACTCATTATTTTTTACATTTTCATGAAAACAACACACAACAAACTCACTGTGTGAGACAGCACACATCCTCTCAGCCAAGAGGGTTACAATAAGAGTGAATGCTTTGGCCCTTAAGATGGGTCCAGGATGTTCTCCCTGTACATAACTCCGCGCATGTGCGCGCGCACACACACACACACACACACACACACACACACACACACACATTCAGTGTCTCAGAAAATACACAGCATGACTGAACAAAAGAAAAATAGAAAATGCACTCCTGAAGGACATATCTCCACCCTTAGCATGTTGTCTGGCCCACAGGAGAGGCAACACCAAATATGAGAGGTGACACCAGCCAACTGTAAACACCGAAGCTGGTGTCCGGGAGAGGAGGAGATCTTTGAAGAGGGTTAATACTGTCTCTACTAACTACATGCCATGACTCTCATAAGCCATATCCAAGCCATCTCGTTTTTATTGTCCTGATTTTACATATTTTGAGATTAAGTAAGTAGCCTACAGCTAATACATAACAAAGTGCAGTTCTTTCCAATTCCTAGTGCTATATCCTAAAATGGGTAAAACTGAAAAATCAGAAAACACCAGTAGAAGCATCTATTTAGAAAAATGAAGAAGAATGTCAGAGGAAATAAATAAAAGTTAAAAATTATTGGTTCTGAGGAGTAAGAAGTAGGAATAGGAAGTGTTGGGCAAGGGGTCTTATTCTTCATATAAACTTTCTAGTAATATTTGAGTTTTGAAATTACACATGTATTATTTTGATATAAGGTACAATTTTAAATCATAGCAGGAGACTCCTTATTGACAAAATAATATCTAAAGTATGATCCATTTAGAAATATAAGGCCGGGCACAGTGGCTCATGCCTGTAATCCCAGCACTCTGGGAGGCCAAGGCGGTGCATCACTTGCTATCAGGAGTTCGAGACCAGCCTGGTCAACATGGTGAAACCCTATCTCTACTAAAAATACAAAAGTTAGCTGGGCGTGGTGGCACCTGCCTGTAATCCCAGCTACTCGGGAGGCTGAGGCAGCATAATTGCTTGAACCTGGGAGGTGGAGGTTGCAGTGAGCCGAGATTGTGCCATTGCACTCCAGCCTGGGGGAAAGAGCGAGACTCTGTCTCAAAAAAAAATTTTTTTGAAAAGAAAAAAAATATATATATATATATGTATATATACACACAGAGAGAAGCTTTTGAATGCTGTTACTAGAAATTGTCTCTGACGGGTGGGGACATAAGAGTTTTGATAGTTTCTTCTTTTCCCATGAAGCTCTGTATTACTATTTCTAAAAGAAATATAATTATTTCACAAAATATTTTAAATTACTTACTTACCTTAGCTGATTTTTCGATATTTAAGCCTCCATCCAGTTCAAAAAGAATAGTCATGTTGTACCCAGTCTGGTTTCCATGTCCATGAGGCCACCAAGTTTCTACAGTAATATTCTTTTAAGAAAATTAGTCACTCTAATATGTCATATTTTCAGCAAAAAAGATTCAAAGCATCACATCGATTTCTCATATAGTCAAGTACAAAACTCTAGGTTCTAAAACAATGTAAATCTCCCTACTTATATTATGCCAAATCACACCAATTCATTGATAATATTTAAAAATCAGCATGTTAGGAATGTAGCATGTATCAATGCATCAAAAGCAAAAGGAAAGAACAAAATAACATGAGTGTTCAGAAAAACAACTCTTCCTGTCTCTAACACCAAACTTACATTTATTCCACGTTCTTAACACTTAGAATGGGACTTTGAAGTTGACTCTTCTTTCAAGTCGAAAACTAAAAATCATTTTGAGTTCTTACTTTATCTCAACAGCTACTGAATGTTATTTTGCTCCATCTTTTTCAGTACACAATTATTAATTAGAGGAATAGAAAAAAGAAAAAGAAAAGATAAAAATAATCCATTCTATCTTGACGTATGAAAGATCATGAGTTTAGAATTAAAATTATGCAAGTAGAATATAAGTATCAATAATTAAAATAATTGACAAGTACCAAAAATAATCACTGCTATTTAAATATAATCCATAGAATGTATTTTGGCTTCAGGATACTACAAATACTACAGAAAATTAAAATATAATGATAAAAATAAAATGAGAGGAAGAATTGCCAAATTAATGATATATTCTCTATTTTCTTAATCTTAAAATTTTGGAAAATCATTCTTTAGCTCATCCAGAAAACATATGAGAGAATAAAAATAGAGAAGAAAACGACAAATATAAGCAGAGAAAGTAGATTTTTCTTTCATACTTAGTCCCTCCTTTCTAATCTTTTCTTTAGCACAGGTATTGCTTTTCATCCATTGCTTCTCAGGAAGTACCATCATTTACCTTGCTAATGTTCAAAAATAGCTCAACAATCCTTTTCCCAGGTTGAAGTTCAAGGTTGTACATCTGTTGTGTTTGCAACTTAGGGATGGCTACGATCACTTGACCACCAACTGGCTTTGAGCTGACAACATCAAATGTAGCCTCTATTTCCAGATTCCACGCCTGGGCACTCTTATCTAAAATATAAAAGAAAAAGAAAAAATATATAAAATGCTAAGCATTATCACTGCACTTCTCAGGATTCATTGAAGGTAAGACTAAAGCAGCTTCAACCCAGTAAGTGCTCCACAATGCTGTTGTAATGAAAACTTCGTGGAAATTTTCTTTTAATCTTCAGTTTAATCCTTCATTCTGAAGAAGAATAACAAAATGATGTATTTATATAGACTTCCACTCTAAAAATGTTATGATTGTAAGTCATAAAAACTTTATGGAGCATAAACAGAAAATAACAAATGGAAAGATAAAATAAATTTTCCAAGAATGATATACATTTGTTCCTTTTTATAAAGTAAAAATACTTCATAAAGTTAAGTGAAAAGTAACAGTATTTTTACTTTATAATGTAAATGGGTTTTTAAATTATGTAATGCATAAATTTATATGTATTAAAATTAATCAAATGTGAAAAAATAAAGTTATACTTGAAATGTAGATAATTTATACAAAAAATATTTCCTGAGGACTTTGTATGTGCCACGTACTCCACTAAATGATGGGAATTAAATGGTGACCAGGATAAACATGACCCCTACTCTCATGAACTAAGAGTCTATAGACAAATTCAAAAGTGTAATAATCAGGACAGGAGAAATAAAAGGCTGTCCTGAGAAATAAAAACAGGACGTCAGAAAGCACATCTAATACACAGAGGGTGAAGGAAGGCTTTTTCTTTTTTTTTTTTTTTTTTTTTGGACACAGGGTCTCACTCTGTTGCCCCAGCAGTGCACGATCATAGTTCACTGCAGCTTTGAACTCCTCAAGCAATCCTCCTGCCTCAGCCTTCTGAGCAGCTGGCACTACAGGCATGTGCCACCCCACCTAGCTAATTTTTTTTTTTTTTTTACTTTTTGTAAAGATGAGGTCTCACTTTGTTGTCCAGGTTAGTCTTAAACTCCTGGCCTCAAGCAATCCTCCAGCCTCCACCTCCCAAAGCACTGAGATTATAGACATGAGCCACCATGCCTGGCCAAGGAACGCTTTCAATGGAAAGTGGTATCTAGCTGAGACCAGAAGGATGCCTCAGCTAAGTACAGAGGAAGATGATAAGGATTCTAGGCATACAGAAGCATGTGAAGGCCCATGAGTGAGAGAGAGGAATGCCATAACAAGGAAACTTGGGCAATAACAAAATTGATGAGAGGGGTCAGCATAATTGAAAAGTTGAGCAGTGTCCAAAGGACGAACAGGTGAGGAGTTTGGCAATTTCACCCCAGATCATGTAGAGTCATTGAAGATTTTTCATCAAAGAGCGTGATCAGATTTGCATTTTATAAGAATTGCTAAGGGTCCCAGCACAGTGATATATCAGGATGAATATGAAAGAAGCAGAAAGATAAAATCTCTCTGTGTGCAAAAAGCCTCAGAAAATGCCACTTGGAAAAGCCAGGAACAGAGAGGAGGCAGAGTGTTGATCAGAAAGAAGAGAAAACAAGACCGAAGAGGAGAGCTATATGGAAAGAAGAAAGATGAGGGATGAACTTTGGGTGTGGAGTTTGGGGTTGTCATAATGCTTCAAAAGGGTTTTGAAGAAGAGTTTTATATATGTGCAGTACGACTCTGTCCTCCATTTCCTGTTAAATTTACATTGTTTATATAATGTCTCTGGAATTGGATTTGTGTTTAGTTTTTATTTTTAAACAAGATAGAGCAATGGGACAGACTTGGGACAAGAGCTGGGTGGAAAAAGAGACCCTTTTTAAAGTTATGCAGAAGAAACTGTTGATGAAATCTCAAAAAAGCTTGGAGGTACAGGGGGTTAGAGTCAGCAAAAAAGGTTCTCATTCTTTGCTGCCACAGAAAAAAAGGAGAAAAGCAGTGACTGTGCAGAGGCACTTAAGTTTCTATGATTCGTGGCAAAATATGGAAGGAGTTCCTATTTAGTGGCTTCCATTTTTCTCCAAAGGAAGGGGAGGGAGAAAGCTACTATCTGAGAAATACCTTAGAGACCCGTCTCCTATGAATAAAGAGATTAGTAATCATGGCTTTGCTGCAAAAGAAAAAAAAAGCTAGGTTTGTATGCTGATCAATGACAAAAGACTTTATAACTGGCACTGTTTACAACTGTAGGACCACACCAGGCCTGTTCTAAAGATGACCCCAGCACAGTTTATCATTTGCATCTCCCATCAGCCAAAAGCATAGATTTGATGCACATCGAAGTAAAATTAATCCTGGACTTAAGAACTATTTTTGTTTATTAAATGATTTATTCTGAGAAATACTAGTCAATGAGCCCTGAATTAGGTTTGTTCTGATCCAGTTAATTTTGCAGGTTACTTACCGACAGCCTCTAGGTTTTGAATCTGTCAGCTGGCAGATCAGCTAGTCTACTGGCTCATCAGTGTTTAATTTCCTCTATTGAATAGGTTATCAAACTATGGTCTTTGGGACAAATCTAGCCCACCTCTTGTTTTTATAAATAAAAATTATAAATAAAATTGGAACACAGATGCCGTGGACTAAATGGGGACTCCTCCTCTAAAATGCATATGTTGAAGCCCTAACCTCCAGCTTTTTATGAAGTAATAAGGGTGGGGCAGTAATCTGTTAGGATTGCAGCCTTATAAGAAGAGGAAGAAATAGATATCCGTCTCTCTCTTTACTATGTGAGGACATAGCAAGAAGGCATCTGTCTGCAAGCCAGGAAGGGAGCCCTCACTGGAAACCAAACTGGCCAGCACCTTTATTTCGGACTTCCCAGAACTGTGAGAAATAAACTTCTGTTATTTAAGTCACTCTGCCTATGGTATTTTCTTAGGGCAGCCACAGCAGACTAACATAACAGTCATGCTCATTTGTTTACTTATTGTCTTTGGTTGCCTTTGCAATACAACAATAGAGTTGAGTAGTTGTGACAGATGCCTAAACTGTTTTACTGTATGATCCTTAACACAAAAAGTTTGCTAATCCCTGCCCTAGAATATTCCCCCCCAAAAGGCCATTCTAACCTTTCTTTAAATATCTCTAATGACAAAAAACCTCTGTCTCACAAAATAGCCTTCCCATTTATGCTAGGCTTGGCTATTGTAAAGACTCCCTTTACGCTGAATTTGAATATACTTCTCCTTAATATTCACCTAAAGATTTTAGTTATGTCCTTTCAGCACCTCCTACCAACCAAGCAGCCTCCTGTGTTGTTTTCTGCTACTTCTTCTTTGGTAGGAGAATCAGCTGTTAGTGACAGCCTCTGACAGGAAAACAAACAATGCAGTCCTCAAAGGTCATTGGCAAAATTCCCCAGTTTCTCTTGCTTTGAACTTGGAAGGTTCTCAAGCAAGTCTGCACTCCTCCAAAGCATAACCCGTTAACACTCCTGAGCACTACTAAATGAACAAACTAAGGTTGTAGAATTAAAAACACAGTATGAAGATTTACGAGCCTACAAAGTTATCACCAGATATACTTAAGAATATATTTTTCCCCTCTCCTCTTCTTTCAAAAAAATGTGCTCTTCCAGCAGCACATGGAAAAGTAGGTAATTTAGGTTCACAAGGGGCAAAGTCTTAAATAACCAGTAGTTTTCCTGATGTTCTTTGGTTACTCCCTCTCACTTGCTAAATTAAATTTATAAATTGCATAATCCTATTTGAAGGTAAGAAGAACTCCATCTTATAAATTAAGCCCCATTTCTAGAATACAGCTCCCTATTATCTCTCTCCTGGCATTACTAAGTCACCATTTCCTGAAGAACACCTATCATCACCAGCTCTCCTGAAGTGAAATGCAAGATCATTTCAAAAATGGATGCAGTACTGGGGGTGAGGGCAGGAAAGAAGGATTGCTATATCTTCTAGAATCCCCTACAGAGCTCATCCTTCCAATCACACCACCAAGTTCTGCATCCTCTCTTCACTTTGACTAAACAACTCCGGGCACAAAGAGGACAGGAATTCTTTATCAAAACAGGTGGAAAGGCAATGCTGGCCTGCCCTCTCCACAATTTGAGGTCTTGAGGCCCTCCCAGGCCTGAGGGCTTATTGGTATTCTCGCTGATGTCCTATGCCCAAGCAGAAGAGATTGAGTTCTATAGTTTGTTCATATAATCTCAATCAGGAAGGCAACCCAGAGGATGGCAGAGAATGTGGTTTTGACCACTGATTCACTTTAAGGCTTTGCCAGAGATGATTCAGTGAGGGTTCTTTAAAAAAAGAAAAAACAAAGAGCACAACATGTCTGACCTGGATGAGAATTTGTAGAAAGGGTAAGTAGCTACATAGCCTAGATTAATGTATGCTGCTCCTTCATTCAGAGTATCACAAGACAACTGTAGCTCATGTAGATGTGTCCAGTACATCAGCCTTCAAAATCCTCTCAAATATGCCAGCTTCCTCTTATATTCTCATACAGTCTACTCCTTTGCTAAGATGTAGTTGGGGGGAAGAAAGGTCAAAAAAAAGCTTTATTCAATTGTCTAGGAGAAAAAGGTATAAGGAGAGACACAGAAAGTAGAAAAATAAGAGGGCTCAGTTACATTACTTCAAGTGTGTCAAAAAGTAACAGGAAGACATACTCCCAAACTATACGCTAAGCCTTGCTTCAATTGATTGTAAAAAAGACTCAAGTATCAATGTTTTCATCCAGTCATGTAACGTCTAGTTTCAAGAAAAACTGGGTTGTTCCACACTTATACCCTCACTAGGTGGTAATGACTATACTAATTTACAAAACAAAGGAAAAGAACCACAAAATGTTCGAGGTAGAAGAAACTTGGAGATGTTCTCATCACTTTGCAGGTGTTTCTGAGGCCCTGACTGCAGAATTTCCCTCCTGAGCCAATGGCCAGGCCAAGGGTCCAGGTTTCCTAACTCTGGTGCTCTCGATTTTCCATGAGCCTCTCGCAGTGATGCCTACCAAAAGGAATGACACTCGCAGGTACACAATGATTGACATTTGTATATGAATAATGAGGAAAAGCAAAAGCAAAGGTACTTTTTGCCTTTCAGAGCCCTAAAGC